GCCTTGCAACGGTGCTGGGGAAAATGCCGCTGCCACTGGAGCTGGGAGGGAGGGAGAAGAGAGAGGCAAAGGAGAAGAGGTGAGGAGGAAGAGGAGGAGGAGGAGACAGGGGCAGAGGATATCTTGCCTGCCTTTCAGGGGCACATGGAGCCCAGGGCATGTGCAGGGGGTCAGGCAGAGAGAGTGGTCCAACCAGTTTTCAGACAAGGCTATTTATTATCAAAAAGCAGCTGGCTTCTCTGTTTGTCCTGTGTCACCCGGGAGGTGGGAGTGCAGGCAGGAGAATGGCAAGAATTGGATGCAGTTGAGGCTGCGTGGCCTGTGGAAGTGCCTCTCCACAGTGATGCAGGAGTCCTGGGTTTAGGGTGCTCTGGAGCCCTGGCCAGCAGAACCAGTGCTGTCATAGCCCTTACCCCGGAGGGTTCACATTCTAGATTTTAAAATTACCCAAAATGTGCATCTTCCGTCGGGTGGCTGCCCCTGGTTCTTTAGAGACAATGTAACTTAGGATGACTGCTGGTCTGGGAGACATGAAGAGTACACAAACAGCAAATGATCTTGGGGTGGGGGGCATTGCAGAAGAGCTCTGTAGTGAGCCTTGTTAAATGTACAGACAGGGCCCGAGAGAAGAGAAGTGAAGTATAAAACAGGGTGGGAGACAGCTGGGGATGAAAACCTGGGCTTCTGGTTTGCTTCAAAATGTTTGACCCAGATGGATATGGCTTTTAGAACTGGAGGACGACAGACACAGCTATTAATAAAAACAAACACAAAACAACAGTGACAACAGTGAGGAGGGAAGAAGAGGGGCAGTGGCTGACCAGGCAGAGGGAAGGGCTGTGAGCCCTGTGCCAGACAGGGAGAGTAGGGGAAATTGAAATGGATTCGGGTCCACGAAGGTGCTCTGAGGCTTTCCGAAGAGTAAGATGTTCCTCGTAAACGATACAGCCCTAGTGAAGGTGATTTTTGTCAACAACCTACCAACAGGTTTCCTTGGAAGGTCAGTAATTTTCCATATGAATTCACAATTTTGCAAAAACAACTAGAGACCCAAGGTTTGACACGGAAGTTAGGCTAACTGTTAATTTCACAGTTGCCTCTTAAACTGGGTTTTGCTATAGCTGTGTGTTTTGGAGGCGGCTGGGTTCACAACGACCTTAACTCTCTGGGGTATAGTGTATTTCCAGTTGTCCACAATCTTTCAAGATTGGGCCTCTGATAAATTTCACAAGACGTGGGTCCTCTTTTTTGGTGGGGGGGGGGGATAGTTGGCAGGGGAAGGGGGAGTGAAGTTTGTCTCCCTTCTGCACAGAAGGGAACCCCATATCATTAGAAGTGTGATATAAGTCAGCTGCTCTGATTCCACGGGAGAATAAAAATGTGTTCATCAAAGGTGTTATGCCAGGCTGATTTTATTCATTTGTAATTCACACCTGAGAGAAAACAGCCGTGAGCGTATTTTAACAACCCTTAATATTTTTAAAGGGTATTCTTTCCCTCCCTGAATATTATGTACATATGCATATTTCTTTCTTTGAGGGTGGGAGCTTGCTATCTGCCTGTGCTTTGGCCTTGGCGATTTTTGTGCGGCCTTCAGAGTATTTCGTACAAGAAAACGAGTCATTGCTCAAGTACTAGAGTGAATGCAGTCGCTTTGGTGAAGCCGGCCTTAGGAACATGGAGGGAGGCTGAGGTCAGCTGGCTGGGTGTGGCTGTCTGCTGACCGCAGTGCAGGACTCCACGGGTCTCCCTGACCGGAGAGAAAGGCCAGCTTGGGGTGCATCTGACAGTAATTAGCGGTGCGTCTCAGGTGAGATGGAAGCACACGGAACAGTTCGTTTACAGATAGCAGCTTCCGACTGTAGAGAGCACCAGTTTCTAGCGCCTTATCAGTCTCGAGCTCCTGGCGCTGTCTTTTAGCTTAGAACATGTCTTGCACCAGGCCTTCCCTTCTTCCTTTTCATCTCCTTCCTTGATCGCTTTGCATTCTCTGTTGCTTGTTGTGATAAAATACTTTCCAAAATAAACTTTCAGTTGAATTGGCTTTTCGTTGATGGCAAGCCTGCACCGCCGAGCTGCGCCTGTTGCCACGTGGCAGCTAGGGGGAGCTCGGTGCCCGTGTCATGGCTTGGCGCCTCCGCTGCAACGGGCCAGGAGCGGGCTTCCATCAGCAGCCGAGGCAGTTTGCCTTGCTGCAAAATGTCTTAAGTGTGAAGTTGTAATATTGATTTTCCTGCGGAGATTCGAGCAGGACAAAATGAGAATAAAGTTTGAGAAATCTATTTTCAAGCTATTGGCATTGATTTATAAGCCCTCACTAGGCAGAGGGGAGTATTTTTCTTTTTTTCTCTTCTTTTCCTTTTTTTTTTTTTTTTTTTTTAACAATTAAAATGGTTAGTTTTGAATCGGTGCATTTTCCCCTATGAGTCTGTGGTCTTGACTTTCTGAAAATCCCATTAGACTCTTCAGGCATTCGCTATGGAATGAAGGGGTCTGGGAAGAGCATACATCATTTTGTCCATTTCTGTGTTGCATGTCACAGACCCAGGGAACGGTCGAGAATTGCTGCTTTTGGGAGTCATGCTCCTAAAACAGCTTGATGAATGGAAATCCTTTTAGCTCAGGTTTTATAACACTTGGATTCTCAATTCCATTTATTAGGTAATGTTCCCACTGTACTA